TGATGATGATGATGATGATGATGATGATGATGATGATGATGATGATGATGATGATTAGACTTTTATCCTCCCTCCCTCCCTCCCTGTCTCTCTCTCTCCCTCTCTCTTTCTATATAGATATAGACATAGACATGGACATGGACATGGACATGGACATGGACATGGACATAGACATAGACATAGACATAGACATAGATAGATAGTCAAGTCAAGGTAGTGAACGTTCTGGGAAAACCCTAAAACACAGCTCATTCTCATTAAAACCTATAAAGGCACTTAAATCAAGGCAACAGTTGTCTTAATATTGGCCATTTCCTGTTGCAATTATCTTTTTTGAGTTTCACAGCTTTTGATTGTCTGCATAGAATCCTCCATACATGAACTTCACATAAAAATATGCGATTCATTCTTTTATCAAACAATATATTTTAAAGCACCACCCAATTCCCATTTCAGGGCCAGAAGCCCCTCTTAGGGTTAAATACTTTGCTTCCGTTCTGTCTCAAGGGCCTTGTGTTATTCTGCATGCCACTCCAGCCTATTCAATCTTTCCTCCCACACCTAGCATCAATTGCCCTATCCATGCTAATGGCTGTAACCACTCACTTCACAACCACTTAAATCCAACATTCTTCAAGTGTTTTGCCCTGACTGAGAAAACCTGATCCTAGAGTTCCCTGCAGGGACTAAGCATCAAGAGAATCCTCCATTAGATATGATCACCAGGGTTGCTACAGTAGCTGAATGTCACAATTGTGATCACCAGGGTTGCTACAGTAGCTGAACGTCACAATTCTTTTTATCTTACTTATCTTATCACATCTTTCTCTGCAGCTAGCATCCTGTCCAAATCAAAATGATCTTCATTTGCATTTCTACTGTATCATGTTCTTTATTATGTCCTTGCTATTAAGCAATAAACTTATATTTAAATATTTTGCTCCTGTTCTATCTGTAAGAAAACAATGAGCTCTACACACACACACACATTTATATTCATTTGTTCATTTATCCATTCAGCCATTCCACAATAACAGTTGCACTCTGTTAACTGCCTTGTATATTCCTTGTTACTCCTTTGAGGAATATAATATTAATTTATTTATATTTATATTAATATATTAATTAATATATTACAGGTAGTCCTCAATTAATGACCACAATTGGGACTGGAATTTTGGTCACTAAGTGATGCAGTCGTAAAACGAGATGTCATGTGACTGCAACGCTTAGCAACTACAATCCTGTCAATTCCCCTTGATGTTGTTAAGCCTATTTTACCAGTCATTAGCCAAGGACCCACCCCAACCCAAGCCATTCCGGGCTTGGTCCCTCCCAGCTCAAGCCTAAGTAAGGTAATGGACTGCCTCCAACCCCCCCCCCCTGCCTATCTCCCCCCACCATCTCTGCCCTTTTGGCTGCCCTGTACCCTGCCTTGCTGAGCAAAGGAGAAAAAACAACAACACCCAAGAGCTCTGTGCAAAGGGACTGCTCTCCCCCCCCTTTTCACAGTCAAAGCCCAGCCCAGCCCTGCCCAGCAGCCAGGCTTGGCACGTCTCGTCAGCAGCGGGAGCGAGAAGATGGCAAGGTAGCTGGGGCAGTGGAGTGCAGGGCGGCAAGGGGCCAAGAAGGCATAGATGGGAGAGGAGGTAGGCAGGTGGGGGGAGTTGCAGCACCCCTGTGGTTGTAAGTGCAGGCAGGCTGCCAAGCACCCAAATTTTGATTATGTGACTGTGGGGGTGCTGCAACAGCCATAACTTCGGTCACCGGTCATAAGTCATTTTTTTCAGTGCATTCATAACTTTGAATAGTCGTTAAACAAATGTTCGGTAACTGAGGACTACACCTGTATTAGGAATATATTATTCCTTTGTGGAATATATTCTTACCCCAATAATACATGGCATGCCTTTTAAAGTGCTCTGCTATTAGGCAGAAAACTCAGCTTCTATGTACATTTCTGGTACTAAATCAAAGTTTTAATAAACCCACAACATGTTGCTACCTATGAACTTGCTGTAGCTGTGCCTAATAGCCATCTTTACTATATCAATCCATACCATTTGATAGCATTTTTAATAATATTTGCTTCCATTCTCTCTTAATATTATTGCTAACAGACCTGATGTCTAGAAAACATCAAGTTTCTACAAAAACCTTTGATCTTGTGTACACTTTGGTTCTAAATTCAGGATTTCAGAGAAATCTGCACTAAGGAACTCTAACTTTCCATCGGTAACTTTGAAGTAAACACCTTTTGTGTTTTCCCTAAATTATATTATTATTTCATTATTTATTTCGTTAAATTTATTATAGCTGCCCACTCCAATAGACTTTGGGTAGCTATAATCACAAAATCTAATACTGATTAAAACAATTAAAAACATAGACAAAGCAAAGCAAAACAGCCCAGACTAAAAACAGCCATTAAAACATAGCATGACAATCAGCCCGTCACCCCCCTGCAACACATTAACACCAGACCTGGGACCAAAGCAAGTTTTAAGGACTTTTTGGAACCCCAGGAGAAAGGGTGCTGTCTGTATCTCAAGGGGGATGCTGTTACAGAAGGCAGGGACCATGAAAGAGAAGGCACGCTTCCTAGGACCCACAATATGGCAACATTTAATAGAAGGGACCAGGAGTGCACCCATTCTGCCCAAATGTACCAGGCAGGCAGAAAAAACGGGAGAGAGGCAGTCCCTCAGGTAATCAGGCCCTATGCCATGAAGGGTTTTAAAGCTATCTACCAGCACCTTGAATTGCATTCAAAAGCAAATTGGTAGCCAATGTAGCTCATGCAGCAGTGGTAACATAGGGGCACGATGAGAAGTGTCCACAACTGCAGATTTTGAACCAACTGTAGTTTGGATGGACTTCAAAGGCAGCACCATGTAGAGCGTGTTGCAGTAGTCCAGTCATGAGTGACTGTCTGCAAGGCCACTTGCAGATGTAAAGCTGGGTATCATCCCTGCACTGATGATACCAAACCCCAAACCGATGGATGACCTCACCCAGCAGTTTCATGTAGATGTTAGATGGGAGGGGGAGTATCAAACCCTGAGCCATCCCCAAGTGAGGAGCCACAGGCACAATCTCTCCCCTTCCATCAACACCAACTGGAACTGACCACTGAGGAAGCAGGAACTATTGCAACATGGTGCCTCCCACTCCCAATCCCTGCAGTCATTCAGAAGGATACTGTGACTGATGGTATTGAAAGTCTCTGAGAGATAAAAGAGCACAAGGATGGATGTATTACCACCATCCTGGCTCTGCCACAGGTCAAAACAAGCATGACCAATTCTCAGATAAACTGCACAGCTGGATGAAAAATAGCTCAACAAAGCAGCCAAAAAATAATACGGCTAATGATCATGGATGCTTACCTCAGACTATATCAACACACCAGAAATAACCTCAAGGAGCAAATGGAACAAACCATGACCCTATAACACACAAAAATGCTGACAACCACCATCTACATCTCTAAGACAAGCAGAAAAAAGGAAAACAAAACTCCAAACCAAACTGCTCAAGCTAAACATCAGAAGCAAGAGGTTGTTGTTGTTGTTCAGTCGTTAAGTCGTGTCCAACTCTTCATGACCCCATGAACCATATCGCGCCAGGCAAGCAAGAGGTACCTGAACCCAAATGGGTAGTCAACATGACTAGCTGCCCACTATCCACCACAGAACACACTATCCTCTAGAAAGGGCTCAACTATAACATAGACAATGATAAGAATTCTTTGCAGCCTTAGAAGCAGCATTTAAAACCACAGGACTTGCCACAGAGGCCCAATGTAAATATAAGGCAGACAATTATACT